CAGCTCATTGTGACTTGCCAGGTGGATATACTTGAGGTCGCCAATTTACTTCAAATACAAGTTGGAAAATTCCACCAACCCACCCTTGAAACAGGCATTCGAAATCACTAAATTTCCACCGAGTAACTTGGTGTGATAGGTGCAAACGGGTGCTCAGGTCAATACTGGAAATTGCTATACGCACCTGAATCCACGTAGTTGCAAATGTTTGATAAACTGGTAAACTGCAGACTTATAATTCCCACCCTTTGCATCTAACCATCCACATGGGTAAGTTATGTTACTGTATGTGTTAATTGCACTTTCTTCCAGAAAAGCTTCTTTTGTTTCTTTCGTGGCATTTCTCTGTGCAGGCAGGCTCGCGTGGTGGCGTGCGGGCAGGAGGGGGGTTCTGATACAAATAAACTACTGCTGCGTATTCTGTTTCTCCTAACTGGTCTGCGTAGCTGGCGGTTTGAAAGGGTTCAAGTTGAGGCGCAAGCAGCAAAAAATTAGGACGTCTTTTCCGGCGTAATTTTTCGGAATTTTTATTTAATTTGGACGCCTTCATTAATTAATACCCGTTCTCAAAACGTGGGCGTGGCAAGTCGAAGTGTATGGGTGTAAAGCTAAGGCAATAACCTGCCCTAGCTAGTCTCTGCCGCAATAAGTAGCATGAAAGAAAAGTATTTGATGAGCTATCAAAACACCCGAAGTTTTATGTGACATATGTTTCTGATAAATTTACGCTATAAATAACGGGAAAGGTGGTGCAAAAATTATTTGCAGTATAACGTTACTTATTAATATTTCACAAACTGTTTTATAGAATTATTTTAGAAAATAAAATCTTTGTAGCTCGGCTAAGAGTAATTAGTATTACAAATTCACAATAGTTTGAAAGCACTGCACAGGGAATTCAGCAGAGAACTGTATTTGTTTTATCGTAAACGTTTCGTAATCTCACTCTTTTTTACTTTTTACGGTCTCCAGTTACATGTTACAGTCTGGACTTATCTAACGGACCAACGTTAACTGAACCTGGCTGTACTTTTGTAAAACTGTAGTAATAGGGCTGTATTTCGCATATAAAATTTGGCACAATATTTAGAAACATGTCTTCAATGGCTTAGTAAACTAACTGCTTAAAAGGAAATGGATCTGGCATATTTTGGCTGGAATGTTGATATTTGATATGTAAATATCATTCCACGACAATTGGGCTCACCACGCAATCTGGAAAGCGATTGATTTGCATATTTTGCGCTTGGAAATTCCTTATATAGTCAAACACGTGACCGGAAGTATGCAAATCCGTCACACTTCCGTGCGGAGAGGGAAATTTGAGCTGCAAAGAGAACTGCTATATTTAAATCATTTCTTCTTTGTATTTTTGTACCAACGCCTCACTTTATTGTCCACGGAACGTCGCACGAACACCTTGTTGTCTGCTTGCTTTGTCTTTTCTCTCCCATTAAAAGGTAAGTGTAATACTCTTTGTTAAATATCTATTTGTCATTATTTTGTTGTTTTTACTCTTTTGTATCAACACGCAATTTTCTAGTATTTGATAGTGGCAAGTGATTGTCTCTTTCTCTCATGTTAACATAATTCATTCACAAACCACGCAGTGACTTTGTGATTGGAAATGACTTATCAAGATAATTTTCAAAGAAGGGTGCTAACTTTTTGTATAGAATTGAATATATTGTCGCATTGTCATTCAGCTATTATAAAATATTCATAATATGCAAAGTAGTGTCACGCTTGAATAAGCGCAAATTTGTGATATAATTTAAAGAAATTTTCAAGGCAAGATAGCAAAGCTGCGAACTTTTTCTTCAAAGAGTGTTTTAATTTCACGATTCCGTGACCCCATTGCTTATTTACTTCAGTACAAATTCATCCGCACGCAAAACCCGACATGTTATAATGAGAATTGGGCCAGACACATCTGTTGCTTAGATAAAGGGCAAACCTTTCGTAATATAAACATATTTCCCTATCTAGACAAACAAAAACCTAGCAAGAACAGACAGAGATAAGTAGGTTTCAAACACGAATTGACAGACTTGTCGAATCCGTCCGAAATGTTGCTACGGCAATGGAAATTGTGGAACGGCGAACGTTGGAATGGCCTCGCGCGCATATTTGAAAATCAATATAAAATCAATATTCCAAATCACTTGGTGATTGCTTTAGTTTGTCGCACTGTTTTTTAAGTGTTTTATCTTTTTATTTGTTTATCTGGGCTGGCAGAACAATTGAGGTGTGCGCGCAAGCCATGGGCCCTTATTTCACGTGGATTTTTCTCTCGTGACTACAATACGCACTACACTTAAAATAAAGACTCAACAATAGTTACATGTATATAGCATATTTAAGATTGATACATTCACCAAATCTGAACATTTAAATGCTTAAAAGTTTCCTGGGACTCTGTATCAAAAATACGTTGTAAATAGTTTTACGATATCAAATTTCGTAAATAATGAATTCTCTATAGATATGTCTGTTCGATAATTCAGATTTATCTTTCAAGGAATTTCGCCGTTTATCATCTATTTTGCCGTGTTTTTAGCACAAAATTGATGCGCAACTATCAAAATAATTGCACTTTGATTTTAAATGATAGTACAGAATTCAATGTAGTTTTTCTCGCTGGCTTGTTTGACATCAAACATCAGGTGCCAACAGATACACAAAAATATTTGATTAAATTGCATAGCAGACATTCTTCCGACGATTTTAAGAGTAATCATTTTCCCTATTTTGGCAACCTGGTACATAGAATTAAATCTAGTGTATTCGCAATAAAAATATAGGCATTAATTCTTCATTCGCAACAAACTAGGCATTTAAATCCTACTGTATACTTCTTGCAAGACGTAATAAGAAGCAATTAACATTTCGTTTTCTTACATAGAAAGGGTTTTTACATTGTCATTTGTGAAAATCACGTGGAATCGACAGATTAAGAAGGCAGTTATTTTGAAGCTTGCTGAGCTCAGTTCGGTTAAGCCAACCCAATGAACTCTATAAATACGTTTTCATAGAGTTCACTGAGCCATCACCTACCCAGGCTCTTTCCTCAACCTCGTACCCAAGGTAGTGAAGGTACTTAGCCTCGATCTCGTTAGTGGCGAGGACATAAGGGCTTTATTAATTTGCTACTTTATCTATAGATTATCTGTCTGACGTATTCATTTTGTAGCAATTTTTTGTCGACTAAATTTGTACACTGATTGTATTTGGATGAAAACAGGTGATCCGTTGGATGACCTTTCAGTACTCTTTCTCTACCTGGTGTATGTGATTTAAAAGGATAGCTGCCGTATAAACCAATCCAATCTCGTGGCTCTTGGATACGAGACATTCTTGTACCCAGAGCCCTTCTTACGCACGGTGCGACGAGGGGCTTTGGCCAAATCCAAAACCGGATACCATAAAAACATGGTAAAAGAATATATCCGGTATTAGAACAATAACCTTCGTTGTAGCCAATCAGATGCCAGTTTGATATGGATTTGGCCAGAGCCCCTCGTCGCGCTCCGTTGACCGCGCGTAAGAAGGGCTCTGGGTACGAGAATGGGTACGAGATTGTCTCCAGTTCATCTTGTCTCGTTTCCAGGGCGTTACTCACGCCTGAGACGCTCAGACGTAAACTGGTTCGTTTGAAAATGAAAACGTTTTGTTCTGTTTTCAAAAAAAACAGCGTCCTCACTTTTCATGTTGACGTACATGACTGACTTTGATCTTTAATATAATTTAATAATAAACGCTCTCGAAGGATAACTGCGGATTTCGAAGGATACAACTACCCGCCGAATAATACAAGTAGAACTTCTACGTTTCGAGGCCCTTTATCACTACTAACTTCCCGACTCCTGTACTAGTTACTTCGCATAAGAACAGCTATGCTGGTAACATGGAAATAAACTGGGACTAGTTGTGAAATAGAAATGTATTTTATTTTGTTCCCACTTACGCTTTCCACAACTCAACATGATATTTACAAAGTTTCAAACACAGGCTTTACGACAATTCAATTTGACAACAGTAATGTTATGTCGAATTAGCATCTTAATACGCAAAACACAGTGTATGGTACCTGTCCTGAAGTACTCAATATCCTGCTTGTATATAGAAAGATATCTGACCCACCTGCACTTACACATATGATTTGCATAATGTAAAAATATTTTTGAAATTTGGTCCTAAAGGCCCGTGTTTCAAGACAAGTAGTTTTGAGAACAAAAAGAAACAAATGATTACATACATCAAAATATAGTGAGCGATATTTTTTATTTCTTCCCGGTTGTGTACTCAGATATAGTTCAATGATTTAAGTGGTTCCTTGTTTTTCAGAACCAATCATGAGTGCTATTGCTGCAGTGAAAAAGCGCATGGCTGAGATGCGAGATGGCATCGACGAAGCCGAGGGCCGCATGAAAGAATCTGAGCAACTGAAACGCGAGGCAGAGTCCCGAGGTCTGACGGCTGAGGGTGAAGGGTCTTCGTTAAGGAACCGCGTGTATCAGCTGCAAACAGAGATTGAAAGAGTTAACAAGAGGTTGGAAGAACAACAGGCCAAGCTTGATTCAGCAGAGGGTCGCACACTGGACAACGATGACGCTCGCAAGGATCTGGAAGGACGAGAAACGGACAACGATCAAGATTTAATCATGCTTGAACAAAGCACTAAGGATGCCAAGGTAATGGCAAATTAGGAAACACTGTTGTGGAAACATTTGCAAAGTCAATGAAACTTGAAAAGTAATTGTTTGCTGGATTAATTCCCCATTTGCCTGTCCGTTTTTCAGAAAAAGCCAGAAACTTTTTGTTTTGTTTTGTTTTGTTTTGTTTACCAAGTGTACCGTATTTCCATTTAGTCCCCCTGGGGGCTTACCCCCCCCCCCCACACACACACTTCAGGATTATAAACAGTACACTAGTCTATTGAAATACAATCCTAATAATTGTGACATAATTTGCGACATCATTTCGGGATGTGGAAAGTCATTCTTAATAACTTCTGTCTTATTAAGGGAACTTGATTAATGAGAATCTTCTGTTTTCCTGAGTATATATTTAAGATAAATTTGCTCAAATGAATGCCAGATCTCAGTCTAAAATTTACATTTCATCCGACAGGTGTTGGTCACAGAAAACACACAAAAGTACGACGATGCGCTGAACAAGTTCAAGGTGCTCGAAGGGGACTTGGAACGAATCTACGAGCGTCTCACGAATGCAGAGAATAAAGTACACCGACTCGATGATGAGGCGAAGCAAGTGAACACCGACCTCAAGGACCTGGAAACGAGAGATGAACAAGCTAATGAGAGGGAAATGTCGCTGGAAGATCAAGTGAGATACCTTGACTGCCAACTTAAAGAAACCGACCAACGGGCGGACCAAGCCGAACGTATGGCGGCCAGACTCGAGCGATTACGAGACACTATCCAAGGTAAGTGTTAGTCTTAAGGCTCGTTTACACTGGACATTTTTCTTGTTCTGACGGATCTGAACGAGTGGATGAGTTATGAATGTTGTGAGTATATAAACTCTCATCTGAACATTCGTAACTCATCCACTCGTTCACATCCATCAGACCATCAGAAGAAGAAAATCGCACTAAAAATCGCAGCAAAAATTTCAAAAACGTGTAAACGGTCCTTTAGTGATACTCACCCTTTTTTCACGAATGATGCTAGTTTGTCCCACTAAACTTTTGTCTATGAAACGATGCCTACTGTGAAAACATTAGGCATCATAGTATGGGACCCAAAGTCGCCTTAAACATTTTCACGTTCGTAAACAAGTTGTTAGGAGAACTTTACGATTTTTGTTAACCAGGATTAGCTAATTGACTTTGGAATGTTTTAATCTGTTTGTTTTTACATTCCAGGTGGCATAGAACTTGAAAAGAAGAAAACAGAGACGATCAAAGATGAATTGGAAGCTACCATGTGTGACTTGCTCGATGTTTCACATGACCATGGGGAAATACATCATGGAGAAGACCCTCCTCAACAAGTACGTGATGATGAAGAAGAGGAAAAATGATTCAAGTTTATTCCAAGATTTCTGTTAGTTTAGTTCAAAAGTAACATTTTTAGTCAACAAACTAAATAAATAGGGAGACATTTCACTGAGATACATCGAAATTAAATATAAAGCTTTTTTTTGTATTTGTTCCATGTTTTGTACCGGTTTGCGTATATACAATGCACACACTACGTCAAGAATACTTGTGTTCGAGAGGGTGTAACTGAGCTCCATCGTAACTTTTACCTAGCCCCTTTTTAGATCCGGTCCCAGGTTTTCAGAAGTGTAACCCTCTTCCATACATTTTCATTCTGTTTAATGGTACACGCCACCATGTATTGTCCTTTAAAAAGTTGTTAGAACCAATTTGATCAATTTAATGTCGAGCATTTGCATTAGAAACTATAATTGGCGCATTGGAGTTGATAGATTGGAACTATTTTGCATTTGACAACAACTGCTTTATTCACGAACGTCAGAGCGTATGAGTTTAATGTTTCCGTTGCATGTTTTTCATCGCCGCAAACTATGATTCTGATTTGCCTTCGAACTCAAAAAAATATTTATTGATTTACACTGATGCATGTCCTGCAAACACACAGGTTCTTGGTAACGATATCTCGCCTTGAAAACTTAGATCAGATACCCTTAACTTCAGGGCCGTACTAAAGTCCCTATTCTTATGATCATGGCCACCTAGAATCCATAAACAACTCTCGTTATCCTGTCCTGTCTTGACTATCCCTAGACTAAGTCCGCTTCTCGGGTTGAAACGATTACGAATGAAACACCAATGGTTCTGTTCCGGGTCGAGAACTTCGACCGAATTCAACACTCCATAACTATTTGCGCCACCAACTACGTAGACCTTATCAGCATAATTTGCGGAACCGTGGTTCATGCGCGGTTTGTTCATCGATGCAATTTCCGTCCACGTGTTCGCAAGGGGGTCAAAATATTCCACATGTGGTATAGCGCACGTGCCACAGTATCCGCCAATGGCGTAAAGCTTCCCGCCTAGGGGTTGAAGACAAAAGTGGCTTCTCGGTAAATTCATGTTGGGGACTGGAAGCCAGGTGTTCGCAAGTGAGTCGTAACGTTCGGCAGTTTTGATAGCGACGCCATTGTCTGAGCCTCCAGCTGCGTAGAGCCAGCCGTCAAGAACTGCGATCGCCGTTGAGCCTGAAGTGAAATGAATATAAATTATTAGCATACACTCGGAAGGTGGATGGGGCTTTTTGCGCAATTTGGTTTCTCAGCTCCGCGCGGATATCCTTACACTATTCACCTCCGGACAAAAACAAAATGTTTTCCCGTTTAGTTCCTCTTTGGTGTCAGTGGATAGTGCAAGGATCTCCACTTTGGTGAATCTATTAATATACTACTCATTGATATACTACTCATTACTATTACTATACTACTTATTAATATACTACTAATTATTAATATACTACTAATTAATATACTACTAATTAATATACTAATTAATACACTACTCATTAATATACTACTCATTAATATACTACTCATTAATATACTACTTATTAATATACTACTCATTAATATACTACTCATTAATATACTACTCATTAATATACTACTCATTAATATACTACTCATTAATATACTACTCATTAATATACTACTATTTAATATACTACTCAATATACTACTAATGCTTGCATATCTAGTGAGAGTCAATCGTGCACAAAAGTGTGGCAGGTCACCTTTGCATTCTTGAAGCGAAGCCAAGGACGTCCACTGATTAGTTGAGAGGTTACACGCTTCGACTGTTACCAGATCACCATACTGATCATTGATTCCTCCAACAGCATACAGCTGGTCATCAAGTATTGCAGACCCAACAAACTTTCTTGGTATGATCATAGGAGTGAGCTCGTGCCAGACTCCTGAACTGCAATCATAGCACTCCACGTTGTTCACAATACTCCCACATTCTGTAAAACAGAATCGTAAATTAACTGGGTAATGGCCCGATTTTTGGTATGAATGGATGATTGATAATTTGCCGGTTTGCACGATTTTGGGCAAAAGAAACTGGGTATGGTCGATACCTAATTTAAAGACCCCAAACTCAATGAACACACAGGAAAGAAGTGACTGCATAAGTAACTGGATTGTTTTATCAATGAATTACACACAGGAAAGAAGTGACTGCATAAGTAACTGGATTGTTTTATCAATGAATTACACACAGGAAAGAAGTGACTGCATAAGTAACTGGATTGTTTCGTAAAAATGTCTTACCTTCTCCTCCTAGTAAATATATGAACCTCGTAACTCTTTCTCTTTGCCGGCCATCGACGGCACTCACCGAACCGTTCCGAGTCTCAGGGACGAGATGATACCGAATTGCGTCGAAGATCAACTGACGGCAAAACATATTGTCCAGGATCAGCTCTTCGTTTAAAATCACATCTGTCAAATGGCGTCGCGTAATTTGTGAAAAACGAACGTGTTTCATTAAATCTTCCAAATGAGCACTACGTTCTTGCGGATCGAGCCTCACCCAGCGAATTATTGCAGTAGACAGATCATTTTCCGTGGAAATATTCAGATTATCGCTTTTTAAGAACTTCAAAAGCTGTTCGGCAGTCAAATCTAGAAACTCCTCATGTTTTGCAACAAAAGAAAAGTTCGTTTTTATGTACGTTTCGAGTTTCTCTAACGTTTTCTGATTTCGTTGTATCACCTCCGCTAACTTCCATATTCCTATGCAATTTGATTCGTGTAGGTTATTCAGCAGGAATTCCATGCAAGAATCTTGGATTTTTGGAAACTGTAACATCCCGCTTGCAATGAGTAACTGTTGAACATTCTCTGAAGTGATTGTCACCGTAGCGGTGTAACAAAACTCCAGAAGTTGCTCCAGAGCGCTCGAGTCCAGACCCTTAATCTTGATGCGCGGTTGTTGGCTTTCTTTCATGTCAGCCAAAAACATCGCGCGAAAGTATGGAGATGCTGACGCCAAAATCAGTTTATGACAATTGAACTCTTTGTTGTCATCAGAGCAGATTATAACATCACTGAATATTGCTTCTCGACGAAAATCTAACATGGTTTTAAAAGCATCTTGAAATGCGTTCTTATCGTTGAATTCGCAAATGCTGTCGTCCACCAGGGGCACTGCCATCTTTTTTTGCTTTAATCGTTAGTTTTGTTCCTTTGTTTTACCAGAACAGCTGTTAGTTGTAAATTAAAGATTTAAGGTTCTTTAGTATATTCAGTGCTCACTCGACGTACCTAAATCTCACATAGAACATAGGTGTCGTGTCATGACAACTATTTGTCTTCTTTGTCTTGTTTTGTTTATTTCCCTTTTCCTTTGCCTTGCTTAGAATTTGCCAGTCGGTTACAATTTACACTTCGACTAAAAATCGTTTAAAAATTACTTCCTTAATCCCACAGGCTGTGACAGGCATAATCTCGACATTTAACTAGGTCGGTCTCAGATATAAAATGACTCCATTTGACAAATTGTCTTCATTTTCCCTGTATTCTTTAATCATTCGCGCTGGCTTACAAGGATCGTTATTACAATCTTTGCCCTTGCCTTGGGCTTTAAATATTTCCAAAGATACAGCACCGTAGTGTACGACAATGGATTTTAAACTATTAAATTTCCCGTTAAATTAGCAAGCAATATTTCTCGCGATTAAAGTTATGAATTATTAAAGATTTTGTTCAGCCGGTAGCATAGCTTGTGTTTGTACTTTCAATGTGTTTTCGCTAGAAACATTGTAAGTTTTGTTTACTTTGTCGGCAGGTGACTGATTAAAATCAATAATAATAATGCAACAGTAAACCACATTATCTGATTTAAAAAGCTTCGTACTTGATACATCGTATATTTAACACTCTTGTAAACATAATGGAATATTGCTTTCCGCCTCTAGGATTTGTAGAAATAGCATAACGACAAGAAACAATCATTTTAGGGAATCTATACTAGAGTTTTGCGTGCCATGTATGCTAGAGGACAACGCATCTTGTGTCCTGTCGTCGAATCTCTATCCGATATAATACACCTTTTGGAGAGTACGTGATCTTGGCCACAGAGCCTCGTTTTCGTGTATTTGACATTAGTCAAAGCCCAACATCTCAATCATGATAACGAGGCTGTATAGCCAGGATGACGTCCTTTCCGTCATTATTTGAACTGTTGTAAACTGGGACCATTTTTTTGCCAGCCCATCCTATTTCGCTACTATCCCGACGAACTCAGGACGGACCTTTGCTCGAAACATTGAAGTTCTCCTTGTATTTTTCAGGCATCCCTATCTAGACTATCTATGATCCCTATCTGCCTCCGAAGCTTTCTCTCTATTTGAAGTATTCTCACTATTTGGTACCGCTGTTTTAAGATTTGCATGTTCATTTCCAAGATGGCGGATCGTTCGCCTTCTTCTCAACATACTTCAACTTTGATCTTACAAGCTTGGCGAGAGCGCTGGTCGCCGCTGCAGTGGACGTCAAAGCTAAGACGAACCCTTGCGGAAGATAGTGAGCTTGCAAAAACATTGCCAGGTGAAATTAGCAAACAATAATTTGCATGCTGAAGTTATGAAATATGTTTATAATTTATATAACGCTGTTGTACTTAATTTGTATCATTGTATAAAAGGTGTAACTGTTTGTACTTTGTTTTTTAGTTGCATTAATAGAACAAGCAACATTCGGAAGTACACCAAATACTTTACTCTTGTCCTATATAAAATATGCTGCGATTAATAAGGTATAAACTGGTTTTTCAATACCCAAGTCGAAACTCGCCAAGCCCCAATGACTTTTGCTGAATTGCATAAACTGTTTTTAAATTTAATGTTTATATTTAACAGGTTATTCCATTTTCATCTGTACTTAAAGCAATTGAACAGGCAAGATAATTTGTTTCACAGTGCATGACTGGCTATTAGAACGGTTTTCACTCGTTTCCAACCATCAAACTGATGCCACGTCATTTGATCAATTTCTAAACGGTTGATTCTTTTGGAATTATTGTATTAATTTGGTTCCCTAGGGTTAGAGTTAATAGGTGACAATGCAGGGCATTTTTTAACTATATAACTGGGGGGGCCAAAGCCCCCCCAGCCCCCATGGTGGCCCCCCACTCAACCATTTTGGGCCATTCCATTTAATATCTACACCCCCCTGTCGACGACGTTTTCGGAGGGGTCCTGAAAATTTGTATTTCTTAGGGGTTCTAAAAATGGTAATTTCCGAAGGGAACAAAAAAATCGCATTTTCTTAAGGGTTTTCGCTAATCAGCGAAATTTCCGAGCCCTTCAGCAAATAGGCGGAAAGCTGGACGGGCTGTCGACGACATTTTCCGAATGGTCACGAAAATTAGGGCTGTCGACGACATTTTCCGAAGGGTCACAAAATCATTCAAAAACAATTCCGAAGGGTGGAAAAATTGGTGACGTCGTCGACAGGGGTATTTCAGAGGGGTCACTTAGTTTCCTTAAGAATATAGAAGAAAACATCAAATTTCTGAAGGGCTTTCAAAATTCTGATGAATTTCCGAGGGGGACTTATAAAAACATGCTTCTTAGGGGTGTGAAATTGGAAGACGTCGTCGACAGGGGGGTGTAGATATTAAATGGAATGGCCCTTTGGCCCCCCCCAGTCAAAGTCCCTTTTCTCTAAAATATAAGCAAAACATGGAATTTAGAAGGAAGGTTTGATATTCTAGTAACTGAAATTTGCTTTGTGAATCTTATGTCCTGTCTTTTATGTTTAATAAATACCGTAGATTTTAAACATTTCCCAGGCAGTGGATTGCATTTCCCAGACCTTATAGATTTGAGTTGTTGGACAAGTTAGTGACCGCAGGGGGCAACAGGCCCTCAACCAAGTGTTTTATAAGGGGGGATAATTTTGCCCCCCCCCACCAAAAAAAAAAAAATTTGATTTTGAAACTAGAAGTATTTGAAATCATATATACATATAATCAAATATCTGTAATCGATATTTTGATAACATTTCTCGTAATAATCCATCATGACTCGCGGATATCATAGACTCGCAAATCATAATGAACGAATTAATGAAAGGGCCTAACAAAAGACGTATACAAGACTTTGAAAATGCCATTTCCGACGATTTAGAGACGCAAAATTTTCAAAAAATTTTCGCTCTGTGCCAACCATGGTGGCGCTTTGTGGGAGTCGGGAACTCTAAGTTTATCAAGCTGGCTCCCTAAGTGACGGCCAAGTTGTGGTATCTACATCAGTAAACATACTATGCAAGTACTTAACTGAAGGTTCAGTCTATCTACAGCATAATGTAATGCTGTATATCCAAAAATCTGTTTCAGAAAATGCAGGGAATTTCAGTCATAGGGGTAGAAAAATACAAAAATTTTCTGGGAGAGAAAACCCCAGACCCTCTCCAGGGTATATTATCCAATATATTGTTAATTAAATACACCTTCGCCCATTTTGTACTACTGAATTCTAAATTTCCACATACTAAAAACGCTATTTTCTGACAATCAGAAATCTGTCAAATCTTCTCCAAAGTCCAGGAAATGGCATTTCAGAGACTCTAAATTTAAAAATTTCCTCGGGCCTTCGGCCCTCGCTCTCAGTCCCCCCCAAACAAAAAGAGCTTCCTACGGCCGTGCTCTCCCCCCCCCCTACTATTAAATGCGATACCACACCAAACTTTATGTTACCAACAAACCATCTATCATTGCTCCACACTCGGTATAGTATGGTCCCTTTTTGTAGATGGCCCCCCCACTGACGAATTCTTAAAAAATGCCCTGTGACAATGATGTCATGTCAGTTTGGTGGTTGGAAATCAGTACTGACCTATTAGAACCTAGTGTGTTTTGTTTCTTAATGAAGCATATTTTGTAACAAGACAAAAACGGGATTGAATTTGAGATATGTAAAGACTGTTCTTTTCTTAAATTAATATACAGTTTTTTAGAGTATTCATGCAGATGAGTTTCCAGACCAAATCTTCAGTTATAGAATGTGATTTTCAATATTTGTTTGTTGCCTTGTTTCCCTAACATTTTCCATCTTTATATTCCATATTTTCTTCAATTACAGTTTGAAGATGTTCAGGAACCATCGCGATGTCGAACACTGTTAGCTCTTCTTGATCTGCTTGCTGATATCATCACAAATATTAGGTATAATTTGTTAAATTACAGCCAGGTATATTTCTCATGATCTACTCCAGGTTTGTCGGTGCCACCCACACCTAAGGTGGAACCATCCTATTTTAACCTCTCTATTGATTATCACACAATTCAGCACAATATATAGCATGGCATCAGAAACCGGCCTTGCTATACAATGTCATTCTGTCAAGAGTTTGTCAAGCAGAATGTCTACCTTGTACCCAGACATTCGCATTACCAATTTTGATGATGAGTGATTCTTGTTTTCTGTAGCTGTGATGGTGACAAAAGTGACTGTGTTGAACTGTCTGTAGCGTTGTCCCACATCTCATATTGGACACTCAACTGTATTGTTAAACTTCTCATTTCTGTTGTTGGGGTAAGAAAATTTGATCATCGGCGCTGTCTGCTTGAATGTCATGATACCAGTATAGAGTGTGGTGGCAGACTCTTTTTTTGGGGGTGGGGGGGGGGGGGGGGGGGGGGGGGGGGGG